CAGCGCTGCAGCAGTGACGCTTTGGCAAATTCCTCAAGTCTCAGTTCAATCCACAGTCGAGTCGATTGTGTGGTTATACTTATTTAAACATAGTTGATGTTGTTGTTGTTGTTGTTGTTGTTGTTGTTGTTTGGATGCCTAACTATAGTTATATATATGTACTACAGGCACAGGCACAGGCAGAGGCTGAGGCTGAGGTTGGTTGCTGTGGCTAAGGCTGCGGCTGAGGCTGAGGCAGAGGCCGAGGCTGGCTGTTGGCTGTTGTTTGTTGCTGCTTTTGTTGGCTAATTAGAAGACTTGCGGAATTTGTCAAGGCGTCGCTGCTTGCGCGTTTTGTATTAAATTTAAGAAAAAAATCAAATCATTGCTGTAAAATTTGCTAGTTTCTTGGCTTACAAAAAAAATATATTTTCAAAATATATATATTGTTATATATGTTAAGAGTTTACTTTACGAGCGTCGCCTCGTTATATAACCCCCGACAATAGAGGCAAGTGCCACAACCCCGCACACGTACCTCGTGCAATCAATAGCAGCGACATGATGCTGCACAGCAGCCAAGTCCTGGCAAATAAATCCATTGTCCTTGCTTCTGGCAGTTGTCTTCCTATTTAATATGCAGACCAGGCATAGCTATATATATTTATTTATATATATATTTATTTATATATATGTAAATTCCACACTGGCAGCGTACAAAGAATAACTATATATCACTCGTTTTTCTATTGAATTTTTCAATTTTCACTCTACCTTAGTTTTGCTAAGGTGTTTTTTGATTTTTCCACAAATTTTCGGCAACTTTTCTGCGGCCTGGCCGAATTTTCCAACTTGAACTGCGGCAGTTTGGGTGCGGATTAAGCTGAAACTCGTTTTCTGGACTCTGGATAAAAATCAATGAGATGCGAGCAGAATCTCAGTTGATGCGCACAGCAGCTGAGCAGGCGCAGGCGCATTTGCCCAACCGCTCTTCATCTCCCAGAGAAAGAAAGAGAGAGAGCGGATAAAAGTGTCGGCTGGCAGGGTGGCTCACGCAGTTTGTAAACAAAAGACACACGTTGTGTTCTTTAAGGGTTGGCCTTGTCCGGCATCAGCTCACAGCTGTTGCTGGCTTTGTTTACCTGCCAAAGGCAGAGCTGCCAACATCTCTAAAAGCACTTACACAGTGCATGGGAAAAGTACTGCTCCAATGAACGCACTTCCTCAATCTAAATCACATTTTTGCTTTTTTTAAATCTGTTTAATTATGACACCAGCTAGACATAAAGGTCAACAGGGCGTTAACGTTGTTTACGATTTAATCATTATAGCCAGAAGCTAGCATTAATACACAGCAAACAGTTCCTCATGGCGCCCAAATGATATGCAAAATCCGCATCATAAACTTGTCCTAAGCTTTCGTTACGCACCTTAACTAAAAAACAGAAACAAAAACAAACAGCTGAGCAAGCACAGTTCATATTTCAAATAGTTACACAGTACATCTTAACTAGTTATGAAAATTGGGAAAAAAAAATTGTTAGATTTTTGAAGACAAATTAACATTTTTTTGTTTTTGCTTATGTCAGCCTGCCATAGCTAACGAAATCTTCATTAGTTATACCAAAATGCTTGGACCGAAAGATAAATTAGTAAAAAATATATAGAAAAATATTATTAATAATACTTTAAAAACAAGTACTTATTTTTAATAAATTAAACAATCGATACAATATATAAAACACAAATAAATAAAAAAAATTATTATCTTTAAAAAAATTAATACATAATATACAAATTTAAAATAAAAATAACAACATTCAAAAGTTTTTAAAAAATATTACATAAAAATTAAATAATAAAAATAGTTATAAAATAAATTAGTTTATTTATTTAACTGAACACAATATATATTTGAAAAAGGTAAATAAATGTATTTAAAATATAAATAATTAAATGATAGAAAAATATATAAATCCCTAAAATATGAGTGCAATAGAAAAATTTTACAATGCTGCACACTGATCCACAATGAAGAGGCTCCACTGTATATGTAATATATTTTAATGGCTGCACTCGCATTCGCATTCGAAGTCGCTTAACTAGCTTTTAATTGCAAGAACCCCTTCCGCATGCAGGCATTGACAGATGCCAGCGCAATTTGTTGGAGAACAATCGCTTAAAATTTATTTAAGAAATAGAAATAAATTGTGTGTATGAAAATATTATATAAGTAAAAATAAGAAGAGAAAAATAACTTAATGCATGCCAACTAAAGCCGCGTGTTAGACGTTTGGTAATGAAAGCATATTTTTGCATTGTTGATGCCTTCATATGAGCGCATGACAGCGCAATACAATGCAAACGAAAGACTCAGGCCACGAACGTGCCGCATAGAAAAAAAAACAACAACGACTACAAACGTATGATACATGAGCAAACGAAGACAACTTGGACTCTGTCAGAGGTAGCATCAGCATCAGCAAAGAGAAAAACAAACGCTAAGGTCGCCAAGCGCGCATAAAAACTCAATCTTTAGCTTTTGTTGTAGTTGGCGCAATTTGGCTGCCTATTTGGTGTCACCACACATCATCAGCAGCGGCAGCAGCAGCACCACCACCACCAGCAGTTGCAGTTGCAATTGCATTTGCTGTTGAGTCTGACTCCGATAAAAATCACGTTTGAAACGCCAACGCAAATTACATGATATTAATATTTTTTGTTTTTTTTTTTTTTTTTTCATTCTGATCTTTTGTATAGCTATTCCATCAAAGTTTTCTACTTAATTATTGACTGCATTCGATTGAAACACTTTTCGGGATGGCAGCTGCTTTCAAGGTTGCGACGTGCCGCAGATGGCCTACAAAAGTACACAGATCTGCTTACCTAACAACTGGGCGTAGCTTTACTGTTATGCATACCTAAGCACCTAAAACAATACTTTTTATTTTTTTAAATATTTTTGGAGCACAGATTACTTGAATTTGCCCAAATTATATGCAAAGCGCACATCATAAGCTTAAGTTTTTGTGACGCATCATAACTTCATAAAAAATAAAAATAAAAAAAACAGCCGCATTCCCAGCTTTACTAAAATGTACAACATAGTTTAACTACAAACACTTAACTGTGTACATTTAAAAAAAAAATAATTTATCAATTTTAATTTTAATTAAATTTTTTTATAAATATAAAGCTGTTAAAATTAAATGATAAATACATCAAACAATTTGTTTATTTTTTCTACATTTTTTTTGGAGCATATTTTGACTGACAGCAATTTGTTTTAATGGATTGCTTAATTATTTGGCTTAGCATCCGCTTGGCTCTTCTGATTTTAAAAAACAATTAATCATAAGCTTAAGACATATTTATAAATATATTTATATATATATATATAAATATATGTGGGTTTATAATATTTGAATTGTACATGCCTCATTCTATGCAAATTCGTTGTGTGTGAATGTAATAAATAATAATTCGCGAAACGTTAATAGAAACGTAATGTGATACCATAAACATTTAGACTGCCTTTTGTGTTGTTTGCTTCTCATAGCTAAATAAATTAATTAGCCAGGCACACTTGCAGACAAAACACTTGTATGAATTCGTGTTAATTTTTGCACCAAAGATTCTTGCGCAGATGCCAAGACTCTAGCCAACAGCAACTGCATATTAATACAAAAGAAACACATAGAAGCAAAACAAAACAAAAAAAAAAAAAAAACAGTCCAAAATGAGCAACTCACCGAAAATTGCACAATTAGCAAAAGTCTACCGACAGTTGATGCTGCTGCTACTACTGCTGCTGCTGCTGCGGCAGTTGGGCAACATTAAAAGTCCTCAACCATATTAACACTTTGGGCAATATTTTGCGGCGCGCCGCAGCGCTCAAAATTTGTGTCAAACCTAACAACAGCAACAACAATGATCGAAAATCATGCAGCAAAGCGCACGACCAACAACAGCAACACAACAAATAACCCACAAACCAAATGGTAAAATACAGCTTGGCACATAAATCGAACACGATTTGACACACGTTCACAAAGTTGTGCATTTCTGTTACGAGGCAGCCCCATTTTCAAGGGGCACTCCAATAAGGAAGTGCAGCAGGTGACACAAGTTAGCTGCCTTATTGCTTCCTCATGGGCCGCACATGCCACGGCCTTAATAGGGTTTAAAGTTAACGCCATTTTGCAACTGCCACCCAGCAGAGCAGAAAATAATTGAACTGCCTGAAAGTAGGCAACCATTTTTATGAGTAAACAAATGACTACCTGTAGCTGTTATAAACAATGTAAAATGTATGCGTAATAGTTTAAGTATTGTATTATATAATTATATATACCGAATGCCTTTACTTTCGATTTTTTAAAATTTCTATTTGATAATAACAGCTAAGAGATATCGCTCAATGACTTTAATAAACTGCCTGAAAGTAGGCAACCCTTTTGAATAAAGCGACTTGAACTAAGAGCAGCATAATAACAACTATATTTAAGTTACTCATTTGCTGATGATATGTTCATAAGTTATTAAGCTTATCAAAGGCTAAAAATACTACCGAGCGAGATACGCTCCTCAAATAAGATTTGCCTAATCAGCTCTAACTAATGTACGAAACATATTTTACAAACTAAAAATATTTAAAATAGAAAATTAAACAAAAATAATTCTTGAAAGATCATTAAAAATATAAATCAAATCAAATTTACTTTTCCACTTCAGTCATAGTCAAACGCTTTAAAATCACGCGCACGAAAGTAGGCAACACTTTTTGTTAACTCAAATTTCACTAAGCGCAGCAAAGTATGAATTCGAAAAACCTCCAGAAATCTTACACAAATCACTGCTAAATTTAATTGTTTATTATTTTAAGACCGACAGCTAAATATGAGCGAACAAAACTTCGTTGGTACATTCTTATTTTATGCCATAAAAACTATTTACAAAACTCCAGTTGACCCTAAACTACCCAGCCATGTCTATTAGCATATTCAACTGTCAATCATGTGTCAATCAATCTGCCCCTTATGTGCTATATAGGAGTCGTACAGCGTGGACTGCTTGCGTCTCTTCAGCCGAGAGCAGGCTATGAACAGCATCACAGTCAGCACACAAAGTAGCGCCGAGCAGCTGGCTGTCAGTGCTGAGAAGGTGGAGGTCTTCAGGCAAGTCTGATGCGGTAACTGTGGTTTTGCCTGGCGATGAGCATAGACATCGTCGCCATCGGATTCGCCCTCCTGCAGCACGCGGAGCGACTGAAACAGATTCACATTCTCCGAGAGCGAAGCTTGTGCCGGACTCTCTGTAGCTTCGATTGCAGCGTCTGAGAGCGGTGGCAGCGACAAATTCGTTGCTGTCATGTTAGACGTGTCGCGTTTGGTGACGGCCTTCAAGTTGCGCCAGTGACAAGGCTGACTCTGCGAACGAACAAGATTATATAAATAGCTTTCAGAGTCAAAACCTGCTCTGTGATCATCTTACCGGACAACGCCCATGGCACATGCGCACATCGCACTCAATGTACAGCGCCGGAGAGCCCGTAAAACGAAAGGTTTTCATATAAGCATACACCTGCGTCTCGAACACGCCCGAATCCGACCAGGAGCCCCTGAAGCGTGAGATAAGCTTGTCGTCCACGGGACAGCCCTGATGATCAATCAACTGAATGCGCTTGTTGGCCCCATTGTGCGCATAGCAATCATTCACAACTATATCAAAGCCGTCTAAAAGGGAGAGGATAATTAAGTAACACAATTATTACAGTTGTGTGAAGTATACACACCATATTTGCTTCGCATATAGATGATCAGCGTCAAAGGATCGCCCACGCGCACTGGACCAGTTACACGTGGTCCACCAATGCCATAACCATTCTGGATCTCCATATAACACTCAGGTGGGCTGAGAGTGAACACCACCGGATTGCCTGTTGCAACTCTATAAGAAAAATGCAAAAGAATTAGATATTGACTGTATATATAGCGGAATAAGGCTAACAATTGGGAGATACTTCCTCCGTAACAGATAAATGACTGAAATTTGAGGTAGTTCACTAAGAAATGGAAAATACCTAAGAGATAGACAAATGGAGGGATAGAGAGATACTGAGATAGAGGGATAGATAAACATAGATAAACAGCGATAGAGATATAAAGCGATAGAGAGAAAGAGGCATAGAGAGATAAAGAGATAGAGAGATGGAGAGATAGAGAACTAGAGATATAGAGAGATAGAGATACGACTTCACAAAAATATATCTAAATTGGAATATTATACTATATATATATACTAGAAGATACATCACACAACTTAATCTGATTTCTACTGAACGATTTCTAGTTATGGAAAAACTTACTCCACATCTAAGAAGGGAAACGTGACGGTCTTCCAGAAATCATAGCCATATTCACAGGTGACCTTGAAATGTTCATCATACTCCTCTTCGATCAGCGGATTATACTGAACAGTAACTGTGTTCCACATAAAGTTCTGCAATATATACATATATATAGTACATAAAAACGATATATATGAAGCATACGCACTGTGGGATTCTTGCGACTCTCTTCCTGCAGAGTATTCTTGCCCAGGGTGCCGCAGCGATTCAATTGTATGTAGAACTCGTAGTAGTCCCTGCCAGAGCCATTGATGTACATGCAATCGGGATCGTACGCATAGCCAGCAGAATAGAGCAAGCCACTGAATGAGCCATTGAAGCCAATGCGTATTTTCATATAATCATCTTGGCATTCAGCTTCAATATCTGTCGGGCATTAGACGTGAATTAGACTAAATTTAGATACAGTTAGTTGAGCACTTACGCTGCACTCGGGTGCTGTTGTGCGCGTACTGTTGCCCGGAGTAGTCCTGCTCCCAGTATTCCTCGTGCCACTTGCTGCCCTCATAGGGCGCCGCATGATAGCCCGCACTGCCTGTTGGAGCTCCACTTGAGTCCACGCCAGTTGAGCCGTATTCCAAATGCACGGGATGCCCAATGCGCTGTGGCACATAGCCAGATGAATCGGGCACGTGATCGGGCTAGAATGAGAATCTTGTTATACCAAGTCAGTGATTGTAGTCCTCACTCACTCACCACCTCGTGCTGCAGCCTGTTTCGCTCCACAGCCAGGCTGCTGCGATTGCGCACATCCTTGGCGAATTTCTTCTGTGCCGGCAGTCCAGCACGCTTGGCCAGCTTGGAGGGCGGTGTGGTGGGCCCAGAGATATACGATTTTGATGAAATTGACACCAGCTGCTGCTGAGGTTCATCTGAGGTGTTGCTAGCCAGCGGACGGGCCTGCCGCTTCGAGGCAGAGCGTGGCGTTGTCGTCTGTATGCGACCTTTGAAGCTGCGACCAGGTGGTGCAGCGGGTGTTGGCGTCGGTGCTGCTGTGGTGGTGGCCACCGCTGCCTTGCTCACTATGGCATAGTCGGTGCTCAGTTCAATGCTACGACTGGGCTCCGGCTGCTGCAGAAAAACGGGTATGCACAATTGCCATAAGTAAAATCAAGCAAGTTTGTGTCTTAAGTCTTTCGTTTGAAAACAGCTGCATCATTGATTAAGAAATGGCAGGCAGGCCACATAATTTGTGCAACGCCATCTCTTCCGCTGAACTGGGAAGCTACGCAATATGGCAAAGCATATCCGTTAGACCGGGGCGATTGGCCAACGCGATTTGGTTACGGTTCATGTGCTGTATGCTGCTTAGCATAATCAGGAAGTTCGTTCTTAGAATGCAGTTTAACTGTTAAATAGATTAGTTTTTTTTTCAACTGATTTGCCTCTATGCGAATGCAGCAGCAAACAAAAGACTTAGGCAACAAACTTGCTTGGCGCAATAGTGAAAGGCAAATTGAGAACATTTGCCATAGGTCTTGACTTACCCGCAGCAACTGCATTAGCAGCAGCAAATAGCCCGCAAATCTGCACAGCTTCATGTCTCACACGCAACTAGTCGAAGCTGCAAAGATAAATATTCAATATAATCATTATTGGAAGGCCAAATAATAACAAGAACCTTGTGTTCTGTTCAGCCTGGATGCATCGCCAACACGTCAGCGGCATGCGTAGCATGGCAGGAAGGAAGTTTGTTTGGTTCATAAATTAATTATGGTCAATATGCGAGGAACATAAACATCAGCAACATCAGCAACGTCAACAGCATCAGCGCGCTGTCGCCCAGAACAATAGCTGACAATGGCGTTAAGGTCGAAGGCATAAAACTCAGACTGTCAGCTAAATGCTTTGCTTTAATTAAAAAATTATAGCCAAAGCCACGCATGTAGAACCCTTCTTGAGATTAGTTCTTCATGAATCACACAGTCGCAACTGTGATTCGGTTCGTCTGCCTCGCTGCCTGCCACGCCTCTCCTCTCGCCTTTACCTTGCCAACACCTCCGCACAAATGCTTGACTGCGCTTTATACCTAGCTGTAAAAACGCACGCCGTTTGCTTAATTGTTGTTGTTAATACACTGCCAGAGGGCATGTAACTAGAGTCATCAAATATGTAGTCTAAGCATGTGTTGAATTCATAAATAGTTTTGACTGAAGAATTTATTGAGCTATGGCTGCTTCTATACACAGAAGTCTCTAGGCTTGCTTCTATTTGCTGCAGCGTAAATATAAATGTTATACATAGTTAATATATACCTGCTGTAGTTAATATATAAAGCTGTCATAATGAATATCGATCGACTATATAGTAATAATATTAAAGCTATGTCTTTCTATGTACATTCGATATTTATACCAATTTCAATTCATATTAAAATTACTTTGATACAGCCATATGTGTGTCCTAAGAGCTAGTCTTTGCTTCAATTAAAAAATCATAACTTGAAAGTTTGTTTATATCAGAATCACATCATCATATCATATCATATCATATCATATCATATCATATCATATGATATCATATGATATCATATTAACGATCAGTTCTAAGTATTTCTTGTGTACCAGAATCTAAGCTTTAGCTTTAAGTTAACTAGATTCAAGTTGACTTAAACTTATGCCCAGTAAATTTCCCCTCCAGTCGCTAGGGTATTCAATTTTTGGTCTGCCATTAGAGTAAGCGCTTCTTTCTTGTTATAATTACTGTAGGTTTGGCTTCTGCTGCTCTTTGTTTGTTTTGTTTATTTGCTGATTCGGGGTTCGCTTTGGTTTTACATCTGTTATGCAATAGTTTTTTTTTTGCGGTTTCGGTTTCGGTTTTTGGCTTTCATTATTTTTTTATATTTTTTAACATTTATTTATATATATTTTTTTTTTTTGTATGTTCGCATTGCTGTTCTTTAATGCTCAGCTCCTCCTTCGCCTCCGCAACTGCCTCGTAATTATTTTTAATTGTTGTTGCCTGACCTTGAGCCAGCCGTTCAAGCTTTGTTTTCTTACCACGCATTCACCTACAATGTTAGCAATGCTAACGGTATCTGCACGTTATGGCTAAAGCACGAGTCTAACACGAACCGTTTGACAGTTGACAGTTTGTTGTTCTTTCTTTATCTCTAGGTTTATTGACCGCAACTTAAAGTTAATGCGTGCTTTTAGTTAGACAGTAATTAAATGACTTTGAATGACTTAAGAATAAGACTTAAGATGTCTTAAAAGAAGTGGGCTTGGTTATTAGACAAACAAAAAATAACTGTAATGGTTGAGAGTCTCTTAGATGTGCATAGGATGAGCCTTTGATAAGAAAGACTTAACGTGTGCCGTTTATTGCTGAACTTATGAGAGCTCAAGAATTCAATTCATATGTACTTAAAAATGATTTCAGAAGGGAAATATTAGATATGATATTAATTTAAGATTTTATATGACACTTGACTTTTTATTTTTATTTTTTTCATCATGTAGCAAAGTTTGCTCCAAACTTTAACTTGTTTTTAACATATATAGTTTGAAATATTCTAAAAAAAATTTATTTTCGTAATTTTCATAGAAAATCGCGAAGTTTTTTTTTATAAAAATGAAAAAAAATATTATTTGTAATTTAAATTATAGTATTTAAATATATTCAATAAATAATAAAATGAATACTCTACTTGACTTTAAAATAAAAATAACTAAATCAAGTTCAACATATTTTACAAGTCAGTTTTTAGTTTTTCATAGTCAAATAATAAAGCTATAGTCCGTAAAGCAAAAATATCTTTTATTAAAGGCTTTAATAACCATAGTTTTAAAGCAGTACTCACCTTCTGTAGGTCTAAAGCCGCGTCTGCCTTTCTGTCTTAAGCTTCCGTTCACGTTTAATCACGTTTTATTTTCACAATTTTTTTTTTTTTTGGTTTTTAGCTGGCCAAGCACTGACCTGCTCCAAGTTTTAACTCGTTTTGCTTAGCGCCCGAAATTTGTTAATGGTTTTTAAAATAGTTAGCTCACACACAATCACTCACGTGGCACGCACTTTGACCAACTGACATGGAAAAACTTGGCCCATTTTATTTTCTTTTTTTTTTGCTTCACATTTAACAAATCCTATAAAAGTTGACGAGCCGTGCCCAAAATAATGCCTAAAGCGTTAACAAAACACTTGTGCGTGCGACTGGGCTGGGTTAGGGTTTTCCTCTTCTTCTTCTTCTCCTGGTGCTGCTGCTCTTGTTTGGCTTTTGGGATATTGCGCGATTTTGTTATGCAGTTATGTGTGGCCCGATGTTTTCTACACCATTTATGCCATTTATCTATCTGAGTCGTGCTGCACGTCTCGGCCAAAGTTTTGTTAGTTTTTCCGTCTCGTTTTTCGGTTTTTTGGAAGCCCGAAAAATCACTCAAGTGCAACTTGCCAAATAGAATCAGCGGCCGGGCCACAGCAGCGTTTTATATGGATGTTGCCCAACATTACATAAGAGGCCCTCCTTTATGAACGAATTCCGACCAGCGTATATCGTATGCGGTATACCGTATATCGTATGCCAAGTTCCGATAGCCAAGCCTTTGCTTTGCAGCTCTTCGCGTTACGCGCAGGTGTGAAGCGAAGCGCGGCTAGCGCAAATCTTTATAGAGTTTTGCCAACCAGCCAGAGCTTAGAAGCTGAGAGCACCAGCCACAAGCTATGGGCAGATTGTTGTGAAAGAAGCTGCCAGTTAGCCTATCTGGCGACCCAACCAGAGACCCAACCAGAGAGTTGGGCTGGGCGCCAGCTCTGGTAACAGCTTTATCTGCATTTGCTGCTTTACTTTCGTTGCAATTTGCCGTTAGAAGCTACACTGAGCATAAAGAAGGGTACTTAAATTATAGAAAACTGTGCTGCGCCTATGATTGGGAAGGAAATGTGGACAGACCCAGATGGACAAAGATAAATGATCAAAGATAGAGTCAGCTTATATTGTCTAAAACATAGAATTGATATATATATTTATATATATACTTAATGGTGTCTATATTGTATGCAAGTCTTTTTATTACTATTACATAACTTAGCACACAGCTATTATACCCAGTAATTCCCTTTATCAATGTGTACAGAGTATAGTAAATTCAATATTTTCGCTGGATATTTTCTTTAAATGCAGCTCAGCATAATTTGTTTGCCTTGATATTCTATATTTGGTTAATAGAACAAGTTTGAGTTAACTAATTTCTCAGAGTGTAAGACGGAAGTGCAACACAGCTTTTACTGCTACAAATGTGGCAACTGCAACTTCTAGTGCAACTGTTACTGTTGCTGCTTCGACTGCTTTTTCTTGCACAGCCAGTGCAGCTGACCCATTACCTTTAAAGCGTCAAGGTCAACGGCACTTAACTGTAACTTGTGGGGCAACCGATCAGCAGCAGCAGCAGCTTTAATTGCGCCCTCAGTCGCATTACAGCAGACGTTTTGCGAAGCGTGTCTGCGTTAAAAAACAAATTACTAATTAGTTAGTTAACACTTAACTGTTGGTTAATTAAACGCTCTGCTTTTCGATTGTGAAAGGTGAGCTGGCACCCCCAGCCGACTTGACCCTGACAGCGACAAGGGCAGCGCAGCCACTGTGACCAGAGACCGACCCAACCAAAAGGTTTGACCCACATTCATAATGGATCAACTGGAATATATATAGGAAAAAAAAAACAATTTGGCAACTCATATCTTAAGATCGTAGCATTATCATTTTTATTGGGTTTTCTATTTATATAATTAATATTTGTTTTCATTTCTTTTGTTTTTTGTTTTTTTTTCACATTTTTTCATACTTTCATTCATCTGCTCATCTCTGATACACTGTAATACATTTCACATAAAGAAGCATACATAAAATACACGCATTTTGTTTCACTTTAACAAATCATATAACTAAATTCAGAATCGATCGCTTTGATCGTTGCTTAAATCATAGAAAATTTTCAATTTTAAATACAAATAAATAAAAATGTTTTTTTTTAAATGGGTTTCTTCTCTTGTTTTTAAAACTAAATTAGTAAAATATTTTTATACATTTTTTTCTTCATGTTTTTTTTTTTTGTGTCATATTATGTTGAACATTTGTTGGTTTTTTTTGTTTTAATTTTAAAAACTTTTTATTGCATTTTTTGGTATTTTTTATAGATTTTTTCTGCTCTTTTAAGTTGAAACTGTAAACATTTAAAACTACTTTACACAGAATTTAAATTTTTTTGTTTTTTTTTTTTACACAATTACTAATTGTTAAGTTTTTAGCTTTTAAATTTTTTAGTGTTTTTTTTTTTTTGTTTCTTTTGTAGTTGCTAAATTTTCATATTTTTGCGGCTGTGGTGTTTTTTTTTTCGTTTTGGTAATTTTTTTTGTTACTTTTTTTTGGCAATTTAAAATACTAATTAAAATTCTTTTGCGCCTTGCCAAAGCGCGTTGCTTTTTTGTTTGCCATGTTAGATTATGTAGAGAGAGCCTTGGATGGAGGAGAGGGGTGTGTGTGTGTATGGTTCAGTTGTCATCCACTAGCAGCACTTGCGATTGTTGTTGGCACCGCTAACCAGCTTGCAGTGCTGCATGTCTGAGCGACGCGGACGCTGACCCTTGGCCTGGAAGTCGCGCACCTTGTTGGCGCGCTTAATGGCGCTGCGGCACAGCTGCTGATGCTGCTTCTTATTGTAGCTCTAAGAAATAAAGAATGTATTTAGAGCATATTAAGTGATTTGCTTAGTCAATGATACCCACCTTCTGGCTTTGACGAGCCAACGTCTGCTGCTTCAGCTCAACCGCCGCATGACGATCGAAGCGTGCGCTGTGGCTGCGCGGCGGTTGCACCGCCCCAGCTGCAGCCACCTGGACTGGCTCTGGCTCTGGTTCTGGTTCCACCGCTGAGCCGAGATCAAGATTAACAAAACTTTCAGTGCCCGCCTGGCTGGACCTAATACTATGGTAAACCGACATGCTGCAAAGGTAAAGTAAAGCAAATGTTAGTAAAATATCAGGTATACGCAGGGTCTTGCGTGCAGCTTTGCTTTGCTTTTTGGAGGAGGTTTTTTGGGTTTTTTTTTTTGGAGGTAGAGAAAATCACCAACCTTGGATGCTCAATCAATAGATTCTCAAAGGGTGATGCTTCCATATTGATTGGCCCAATCGAGGTGAAGCATGGTGGCGGTGTTACGTACCAGGACTCCTCCATCAGCAGGCCGGCGCCAGAGCTACCGCTGCTGGAGCTACTCTCGCTGCCGCTGGGCGAGACAGCTGCGACGACAGGTGCGTATAGCGACTGACTGACAGCCGACGTATCGCTGCCCAACTCATTGGCTGGCACACTGCGTGGCGGGCTTAGAGTGGAGACGCTGAGCGTGCGGCCAGCGGCACGCGTGCGTTGCAAGTAGTTGCGCTGCTGCTGCGGACGTGGTCCACTATACAAGGAATGCGAATTGATGTGCTGGCGACGACGAGCGGCGGCCGAAGGAGCAGCAGCTGGGGCAGCTGCAGCCCTTGCCCCGGTCAACTCCTCCTCAGAGTCGCTGCGTGGCAGCGAGTCGTTCTCCTCATCTGCAATGGGATAGCGAGGAACATTCGTAGAGTCGCTTAGGGATATATGATTTGCCCTTCACTTACCCTCCTTCTCCACTATGTACCATTCGTCCTCATTGATGTCGTCCTCGATGACGCACTCGCCGTTGGGTGTTAGCAGCTTCGTTAGCGTCGCCGGCTGCTTGCGTTGTCCGCCCTGCTGCTGCTGCTGTTGTTGTTGTTGTTGTTGTTGCAGTTGGCGCTGCTTGGCACGCCTATTCTTGGCGCCGCCACGCTTGCCGCTGTTGCTCAGCCGTAACGGTCCACGCTGATTGCCCGCTACGGATGGAGTTGAGGATGTCACCTCGATTACATCTCCAGCTGCTGCTGCTGCCTGCTCGTTGCCCGATTCGCTGGGATTGATCTGGACAGGATTCGGTTGGCTTTGCGTTGACTCAGACGTGGGTTGCGCTCCAAATAGAAACGTTGCAAGACTGCTAAACATTATACGAGATAGAGAGCGTTTGGAGCTGGCTATCGATTGGTCTTCCTTGATTGCTTGCTTGATTGATTGATTGATTGATTGATCGTTTGTTTGATTGTTGTTGATATTGCTTATCGAGTTGAGATCAATATGTTTGTGCGCTTGCTAGAGATTGCTTAGTGATGTTGTCTATGCGTCTTATTTATGTTGCTCAGTCTTATTTATTTATTCCCTTTTGTACGCTGCGACGTCTCTTTGCTGCGTTCTCAGTTTTCTTTTGTTTTTTGTTTTGTCTTTGTCTGAAAGTGGAAGAACGTATATTTCAATTAACAAATGTATACCAAATTGCGCAATACACACACACCCACATTAGCACATAAGCTGTTCTGATGTGTACAACGCGGCGGCTACTTAATATTTACTTGATTCAATTTATTTTGCTATTGTACACATTTAATTGCTTTTAATTCAATTGAAATTCGTTTGCCCATTGCGAAAGTGAAATTCGAAAATGAAAATGGAAATTTACATATATAAATTCCAATTGTTTTCATACGCTCAGCAGCGGCGGCACTTGCCAATTACTCTGATTACACTAATTAGATTTTGTTACAATGGAAATTCCGAGTTTTCCGTTGCGTTTTAATACCCTGTAATGCACAAGCACAAGAGCAGGTATATTACAGTTGAACGGGTATTATGGACGAGGAAATATTTATGATCTTATGATTTTTATGAATGTTAATAAATAAAAATCGATTTTTTAAGTATTAAAATAAAATGATTAAAAAATATATACAAATTATTAAAATAAATTTGTTGTGAGAAAAGATTGTTTATTTCCAAGGCATCATGTAATAATATATATATATATGTAGAAAATATTGTTGATTTACTCAATCGATAATCGCTCTTTGTCTACCCAAATCTTTTTGAATAGGAGATTTCCAATAAGACCAAATAAAAATATTTCCAATATAGTTTTATACATACATAATTCTGCATTAATCAAAAATATGTTTATAATAATATTCGTTACAAATTGTTTTCAGAATATTGGGCTTATACTTGAATATTGTGGTCTAACATTTAGTGCTCTGTAGCACTACTATTTTTATGAACAAGCCTGTAAGCGATAAATACCAACAATCAAATAATCGATAAATATCGATTTCAAATCAGTTTTCACATTTTTAAAGCTCGTTATACCACGAGCTCGCTAAGCAGTGTATTTGCTAGTCATGAACTCCCTCTTACATTAATCTTGCTTATATTGCAATTGACCTGCGGCCAGTTTGACAAGCACTGTGCTGACAGCTATATTGCCTATATAAACATACATATTCATTGTCATAAAGCAACGCTGCACAGCCCATTAAGTTGCCAAGTTGATAGCTAACTGAAGCCCCACAACACTCCTCCCGCTGCCAAGTTGTGCTCTGTGCATGCGACAAGCATATGATCAAGGCAATTATATGTGATGCTACACACACAGAGAAGGAGACGAATGCATAACATTTAAATTGAGCGCACGTCATGAGAGATTCATACATATATCTATATATATGAATAATATATAAAAGATATATCTCTATTTGCATCAGTTGTATCTGTGCGAGCTGCAACTGTATCTTGAGCCGTTTTAGTGCCACTTTGCCAATGTGAATTGCTCTCGAAACGTTTCTATTTCCAGCTTAAAATGATAATCAAAAACTGTGCCAATGGGCAAATGCAAAATGCTGCTTGACGCTTGTTTATGGCAATTGTCTGTGAAATTGTGAATGTCGAACAGAATGTGCAGCGGCCAAGTCGTCTAAAGTAAACACACTCGCATCACGGCCAAAACAAAGCAAGACTCGACGAAAATTCAATTGCACTCAGCTGCAATTTGCAATTTGACCGCAAAACGAAAAGCCACGAAGCAGCTAAATAACTACTAACTAACGGCCATTGCTAGTTTGCCTCTGCCCACCGCACTGCCTCCTCCAGCTCGATTCTCAGGCAAGTGAAATCTGTTTCTTGAGCAGAGACAAAAGGCGCTGAGCAGCGCTAACTTCTATTAGCCAGGTTTAAAGCTCTCGAACGTGCGACAATTTGCGCGGCCAAATGTCAGCGAAAGTTGAACAGAAAAAAAATAGAATTTGATTGACACAAGGAAACATAGGAAACATAGCTACCCTTTCATAGAGAAGAGTATTGTACAGTTTATATTTTAGTTATGAATTGTAAGTTTAGTCCTTTTCTTATTGAATTTCATATCATAGAAGAAAAGAAATATTTTTCGAAAAATATTTCAGTTATAATCTGATATTTATGTTAAAATATACGAAAATAATTTGAAATATTTATTTTTATTTTATTTATGAATTTCTAAACTCATTTTATAGTTTATTAAATTTTTTCATTTTAATATTAATTTGTTATAAAATAAAAATTTTGTTTTATTTATTCTTATATATTAAATCATTTTTATTTTTATTTTTAATTTTTATTAATTTAATTTTATTTAATTTTTTAATTTTTTTATTAATTTTTAAAAATTTTTTCACAAGCTAGTTCTACAGCTTGCAGAATATATGCACATATATAATTATTTTATATATATGTAAAACCCAGTTGACCATCAGCTGACTTTTATTAAACGATCTATACTATATATGCAAATATAAATATTTGGACTTTATAAGTCTTGCATAATGCCTGCACACAAAAGCAACTGATTTTGAGGTCGGAATGCCAAAGCACATTTCAAATATGCATTCTCTTTATTAGTTTAAATATAATATGCATATAGATATATATACATGTGTGCTTATATATAGTAAATTGGCATTACGACATTCCATTGGGGGAAGTGCATTTCGTGCTGTCATATTAATTTCGAACACGTTTCAAATCGCAACTGCGTCTCAAACTTTGGCGCTAACTTTTGTTTTTAGACAATGCGATCATACAAACAATTGATAACGGCTATTGAGGTAAACAAAAAGGCAATGACTGCGCTTGTACATCAGCGATACATAGGTATCAATACTTCTATATATTCTATATCGTATATATACATTTGATTTTCACTTTTGTCAGCTGAATAGACGCTGCCTTGACCATGTAAGCGACTTGCTAGCTAGTTAGAAATGCTCTCATATAGATGATATATATACATACATATATCATCATATATATAGCTTGTCATCAAAATGTCAATTGTCTTGGTCTCAGTTGAGCTATGTGTAGGTGTATAGGTCTGTGTATTCAGAACAGTATCTACAGCATTTATTTTCATTTGTCATTTGCCATTTGTTGCTTTTGCAACGACCTTGATCACTGATCGCTTATATAAGCTTAATATCTATATATAACCATATGTCTATATGTATATAGAGCTACACCTATATACGGTCCATCATTAATAAACACCTCAAGTCAACAAACTATGAGCCTTATCGCTTTGCATTCGCAAACTAATTTCGATAAGCTCCTACACCCAGACACTTTGGCTAGACAGTCCAAGTGTTTAGCTAAACAATATCTAAAGTCAATATAGTATATCTGGTATATATATAATAATTATAGTCGAACAGGCGAGAGTCGAAAGTTCAGGCTCGTGGGGGAGGCTGTGCATTCGATTCCAGTTTCTAGTCTAATGAACTTGAACTAATTGTCTGGGGCTTGCGGTAATACGTAATACACGTTTCGACTGATAGCATCAAAAACTAATGAGACTTGTACACTTAGCAAAAAGTGCGAAAGAAGAAGAAAAAATATTTTTTTATTTTCTTTTATTTTTTATTTATTTTTTTTTTTTGTAATGATAATTTCCGAAAAGTTTTGAGCTATATGTTTTCTTCTCACATTCTAACATTATATTGCCATTTTTTGCAGTGTAATCTTTGCTGCCATTAAAAATTCTACAAAAAATTACCTCAGCTATTTCTTAATTTCGTTATGAACATCCGTGAATCAAAGAGGTATACAACTATTTCGACAAGAAACTTAATGTAATTATCAATTGGCAAGGCAAATATATTTATGTGTGTGTATATGCATATATTGATATATTCATTAGGCATCGAAAGCTTTTCAAGTATATTGCGCCCACATATGAAATGAACTAGGGTCCGCCTACACAGACGTGAGCATTCATATCAGTTAACGCAATTGATTAGCACAAAGCTTTATGCGGTCTTTGTTTAGGCTTTGTTTGATTTCGTTATATATACACATATACATATGCATATATATAATTATTATTTTTATGACAGTTCGAACTGCATTTAGCAAGCCACAAGGCTCATAATAATAATAAAACCAATTATGCAATGCTCGCACAAAGACGACGCTGACGTCACAGCTGACCTTGTGGTGTACCAAAAAAACCGAAAACAGAAAAAAGATACAAAATATATAAGAAGAAAAATCCGCAAACAAAATATTGCACTTGAGTTGAATTTCATCAGCTGTTTCGGCTCACCTGGGTAGCAAAAGCACAACTATATAACACACCGAAAATGAATCGAGAATAAGATACGAATACACAGATGCAGAAGCACAGTTGAAGATACAGATACACAGATACGAACTAGAGGGCAGACAGCAACTGCAGATACTGCAAAGTCGACACACGTTTGCCAACTGAATTGAACGGAAGCGTATTTGAATTTCAAAAGAACAAAAGCTACAAAATACACACACACACACACAACAGAGTGTGTGTGAGAGCTTGCAATTGTATCTGTATCTGTATCTGTATCTAGCTGTAGCTGTAGCTGTAGCTATGGCTGCAGCTTAGCCCAAAAGTATCTTTGTTTTTCTTTTATGCACAATTTGTTAACACTTAAAGTTTGGCTTAAGCAGCGCTTTGGCTTTACATTTACATTTACCTCAAACGGCCACTGAGTGAGTGTGCGTGTGTGTGTGAGAGTGTGTGTCCGTGTGTATTTCACTTTTGTTTGCTGCACTTGGCTGTGCCGCGCGTTGCGTTTGCTTTCAAATATTAAAGGCGAATGTCAACGGGGCAACTGCTCAGCCACAGTTCAAGCTGCGAAATACACAGAAGAAGACAAAGAGCAAGAGAGCGCACACAGGGAGAGAGCGCGAGAGCGCACACGCCAAAGAGCGAGGAGCCAACGATCGAGTGAACGAACGAGCGTATCTAAACACATAATTATGTATTTTTTTAAAACGCAAAAAAAAGCAACGCTACAAGACACACTAACACATACACACACATACGAGTGCGCGCGCTCGCCTGTGGTACAGTGGGGCAAAGGGGCTTCGGGCTTCAGCTGGTAAACAAAAG